CTGGATGAGATCAAACTGCTTCGATGTGTGAGTGGATGAGCTTCCTGTCTCTTCCCCTGCTGGCCAGACCTGATCCAGGTGTGCTCAGGTGACCCGTCTGTGTGTCCAGGTGCGGGACAGCGACCCCTCTGACCCGTACAGGGAGACTGTCGTCCAGCTAATCGATGACTTCAAGATCTCTGGAGTCAGCGGAGTGCGTATCCTTGTCATCAGTGGTTTGTCTGGGTTTTGTTGACCCGCCTGAGTGTCAGAGGTTTCCTGAACCACCCTCAGATGTCTGTATGGTTCTGGAGGTTTTGGGTCATCAGCTTTTAAAATGGATCATCAAGTCAAACTACATGGGACTTCCTCTGGTCTGCGTGAAGACCATCATCAAACAGGTGAGACTGGAACATCCATCCATTATGGTAACCGCTTATTCCCCAATGGGGTCGTGAGGGTACTGGAGCCTTTCCCAGTAATCAGAGGCGGGGTCACCCTGGACGGTCCCCAGTCCATCGCAGGGACACACAGAGACACACAAGGACCAACAACCACACACACTCACACTAAGGACAGTTTGGAGTGTCCAACAACCTAACATGCAGTTTTTTGGACGGTGGGAGGAAGCCGGAGAACCTGGAGAGAACCCACAGACACAGGAGAACATGCAGACTCCACCCAGAAAGGTCCTGGTTCCCCCGGGGACTCGAAACCCAGAACCTTCTGGATCTAGGCGTTGGTCCTAACCACCACACCACTGTGCTGTCCGAGACTGGAACAGACCTCCAGAATCCTGGCTGAACTAAGGTCCAGCTTAAACTCTGTAGATTCGTTCAGCTTTGGTTCTGTTCAGCAACCCAAACAGACAGCTGCAGTTAGGACTACATCTATTAACCGGCCTTGCTGTGATGTCATCAGGACATGTGAGTCGACTTAAAATATCTGCTCAGTGTGTCATGTTGGGTGTGATGTGATGGAAAACATCACTATTGCCATAGAGATTTGGTCAGTATGTGACCAGGACTCGGCAGGAAATCTGTCAGCCTGTGATTCGGGGATCTGCTGGTAGGTTAGTCTACAAGTCAGTGAGCCAGGGACTTGGACTTGGCAGGAATTAAATCGGCCTTCGACTTGGTCGGCCTTCGGCTTCGGTCTGGACTTGATCTGACTCTAGGACTGTGATTTGTCTTCATCCTGCAGGTGCTTCAGGGGCTGGACTACCTGCACACCAAGTGTAAGATCATCCACACAGACATCAAGCCTGAGAACATCCTGCTCGTGGTCGACGACGTGTATGTGCGGAGGCTGGCGGCCGAAGCCACCGTCTGGCAGAGATCCGGAGCTCCTCCCCCTTCCTGGTCGTCAGGTAAGCACCTCGCCTGGGTATCTGGAGGAAGGTCTGACTGGGTCACCATGTCTGGAAGCTGTTTCCATGGTGGTGGTGGGAGCTCCAGGACCACCCTTTTTGTTTCAGGGGTCTAACTGTGCTGTTTCTCCTGTCTGTCTGTCTGTCCGCCTGCCACCCTCCTTCCTGACGCTTCCTTCCTGTCTCTCTGTATCTAGTTAGCATGGCTCCCAGGGATCTGCAGGTAAGTCCTGGTGTGACGCCTGCGTGTTCTGGTTTCTGTGCCCCAGCTCAGTGCTTATGTCTGGCAATTAATGCACAGCTTAAACTTCATGTTGCCGTTATTACCAGATGAGTCTTCGGCCTCTCCCTAATGGGCGGAGTTTATCAGAGCCAAACATGTCTGTTCCAAACTTCATTTGATGCCTGGTTTCCTGCCTGTGGAAACGCAGAATAAAGCCTTTTATGGTGGCTCACGGGCTCAAGTCCCAGGTCGAGGCCCTTTGCTTCTTTATCCATCTATATATATACATCTGTCCATCCGTCAACACTCTATCCATATCACCGCCATCTCTAACCCAGTCAGGTTGTGGGGCTTCTATTCAAGCTGCCATTCAGGCAAAGATGGGATGCTCAGTCTGCTGTTTGCTGTTCTTTGGAGTGGATCCTGCATCATGTCCAGCATGTAACAGCCCCCCCCATCACATTTCCAGCTGTGTAATTTGATCTCCAGCCAACAGAAAACTGTGTGGCCTACAGAACAGAGCTGGGATCAGTGGCTTTACAGTCCCTCCATCTTTAGATACCGACATCCCCACCACTGACTCTTTCAGCTGGATCCATGCAGAAGGTCATGTGACATATGTTCCTTTGTGTGTAGGGCGGCAAGATTTCTAAGAACAAGAAGAAGAAACTCAAAAGAAAAGAAAAGCGTCAGCAGCGGCTGTTGGAGGAGAGACTGGTTGATCTCCAGGTACAAAGATGTTCCAGAGATTAGAGATACCATAGAAATGTTCCAGAGATTAGAGATACCACAGAGATGTCCCAGAGATTAGAGATACCACAGAGGTGTCCCAGAGATTATAAATACCATAGAGATTAGAGATACCATAGAGATGTCCCAGAGATTAGAGATACAATAGAGATGTCCCAGGGATTAGAAATACCACGAGGTGTCCCAGAGATGAAAGGTACCACGGAGGTGTCCCAGAGATTAGAGATACCATAGAGATGTCCCAGAGATTAGAGATACCTTAGAGATGTCCCAGATATTAGAGATATCATAGAGATGTCCCAGAGGTATGACAGGGATTTTACATATATTATTACATTAGTTTATTACAGACAACAGAGGTATCACGCTGGTTATTTAGACATCACCGACGTATCGTAGACATTATTAGACCAAAGTCGGTCAGAACAAAGATTTTGTGTCTGTGTTCAGAGGATGGAGGAGGAGGACGGCGTGTTGCAGCCTGACGACACAGAAACCAAAGGTGAGCTAAACCTTTTTTTGCTCGTGCTCAACTCTCTGAAGCCTTCTACATTCATAAAGGTTTCTCCATCCCCAGGTTCTGCTGTCAACCCTTCCTGCTCCTCAGCCAACAGCAAAACCAGTCC